CATTGAACAAAATCTCACTCTTGAACAAAATCCCAATCCCTTGAACAAATTCCCATTTCCTTGAACAAAATCCCACGTCCTTGAACAAAATCCCAAGCCCATGAATAAAGTACCAGTTCCTTGAACAAAATCCCACTCCTTTGAACAAAATCCCACTCTTTTGAAGAAAATCCTACTTCCCAGAACAAAATCCCACTCCCTTGAATAGAATCCCACTTCCTTTAACAAAATTCCACTCCCTTGAATAAAATCCCACTTCATTTAACAAAATCCCACTTGAACAAAATCTGACACCTTGAACAAAATCCCACTTCCCAGAATAAAATTACACATCATTGAACAAAATCTCACTCCTGAATAAAATCAGACTTTTGAACAAAATCCGACTTCCTTGAACAAAATCCCACTTGAACAAAATCCCACTCCCTTGAACAAAATATCACCCCCATGAAGAAAGTCCCACTCCCTTGGAACAAAATCCCACTCCCTTGAACAAAATCCCACTTCCTTTAACAAAATCCCAGCAAAATCTCACATCCTTGAACAAAATCCCACTTGAACAAAATCCCACTCCCTTGAACAAAATCCCACTCCCTTGAACAAAATATCACTCCCATGAAGAAAGTCCCACTCCCTTGGAACAAAATCCCACTCCCTTGAACAAAATCCCACTTCCTTTAACAAAATCCCACATGAGCAAAATCTCACATCCTTGAACAAAATCCCACTTGAACAAAATCCCACTCCCTTAAACAAAATCCCACTCTCTTGAACAAAATCCTTCTCCCTTGAACAAAATCCCACTTCCTTGAACAAAATCCGACATCCTAGAATATAATCCACCTTCCTTGGACTAAATAATGTCGACAAGAGAAATTTTCAACAAAGATATTAATTCAAATGGTTTATAACCTCATTCCAGGTAATAACATTCTGACATAATTACTGAACCATCTTGTATTTTTTTTTTTTTTTTTAGTTTATTGGGCACCCCCGACATCTTGTGCAAGGTGAAGCGCTTACAGCGCCCATCTGGGAAGCATGCTTGCCTTTATGTCTCATGAGTTAAGGGCGTAGAAGCCTGAAGAGTCACAGGTTTTTGTCAGCAAGTTATTGGAAGCTCCAACAACTTTCCTTGAATACGAATTCGCAACTTTTCGATTTACAACAGGTACCTACTTTACTGCTAGGTGAACAGGGACGAAGGGGGCTAGAAAGAAGGTCCAAGCAACTTTTTGCCGGCCTGGAGGAGGGATAATAGAAGTGGAGAGGTGAGGAGGAAGTAAATGAAGACACGTGGGGAAGACAGTTGAGATAACAGTGTTTATGGAGAGAGACAGTGAGGGAGGGCATGTTGTTTTCCTGTCATTTCCATCATTTTTCTTTCCTGGTTTTTGGTCTCATCTCTTTTATCGTTGTTGTTATTTGAAGTTGAAGGAACAAAACACTGGGTCAGGTAATGATTAGGCACCCCAGATTATTTCACCAGTTGGATAAACACTCTAACGTTACCTGCAGCAGTTTAGGTTAGGGTAAGTTAAATTGCTTTTGATTAAGTAATTTTAGGTTCGCGTTAGGGTGCCTAATCTTCACGTTATCCGATAAACTTAAGTCGATGTTTGTTCCACACACTGTGACGTAATGCTCAGAGGTCTTCTTCAGTCACCTGCCATTCCTCGCCCAGGTGAAGGCGAGGAATACCAAGTGTTGTTTAGCCATCGGAATCCTCGTGGCTGGCCTTGTATGCGCGCCGTCTGGAGAGATTACCCTGATCATAGCGGCATATAATACACCATAAACTACGCCATCCAATCTACCGCAGCTCGCGCCTTGACACAAACACCCTCGCCGTATCCACATTTTCTTGTTTGTTTACGTAAAATTGGACGCAAAAGTGGCCGGTGATACAGGTAGCGAACACCATTCGGACACTAGCGAGTCCGAAATGTTAACCAAGAACAAGTTGGGGAGATGATAGTAGGTTAATGTAACTATCTTCTTGTGGTTTGTTTTGCGCCTCTATACTGATTATCTGTAAATGTTTCATTCACAGCACACACACACACACACACACATACATACATATATATATATATATATATATATATATATATATATATATATATATATATATATATATATATATATATATATATATATATATATATATATATATATATATTGCAAAATAATGGCGAGTGCAACGTGCAATGGATTCACCCATTCAGACACACACGAATCCGAAAATATAGACCAAATATGTGATGTTGGAGAGTGTGGTAAATGGGATTACACCCTGTATTGTGTTATGTGTGGAGTGTATTTGGTGGGTGTTGGTGGTCTTCATAAAGCTGATACACCTTAAAGTACACTCGTTTTTATGATAATTTGTTTTAACATACGATGACGCGAGCTATACGAGGAGCATACCGACTACGGTACAGTACTCACTAACTGAATGCTCCGAAATGGTTACCAGTGAGAGGTGGGGTAAAAGACCGTAGGGAAAGAGATGCTATATCCTGTTATATATGTGGTCTCTGGTAGTGTGGGTTGCCAGAGTACGACGAAGAAACTATTTATTGGTGATGTGTGTTTGTGTTAATTTATATGCTGTACTAAAGTGCGTTTTTTCTCAGCTGAGAAAAGATGCCCCGTCCCCTCCCCAAGAGTTACAGCTGATTGGCTGTTGCAAACCTGTCACATTTTGTCCTGAAGTAATGATGTATTTCTAAATGAGTTCGTTCATAATCGTTGGGATGACCGTTTCTGACGAGAAAGATATTTAGCTAAATTATATAAAGATACACACATTCAATAGTTCAAACATAAGTACGTATGAAGTTTATCGGAAGTATTATACATGAATTAACTGTTAAACTCTGGTAGCAAATTCACGCTTTCGGAAGATGCATGTAATATATAATTATTTTTACCCACAATAAGGCATACTAAGACAAATTACGTATCAGGAATACTACATTATGTAAAAACTAAATTTTTAAAGATCAGAATCACATTGAAATATTACACGACCGTTAGCAGAGGCGGGAAAAATATAAAGTTGTTCGCAGTCATAATAAAGTGAATATTAACTCCAAATCAAACTTAGATTAAAAAAAATAAAAATAAAATAATATATATATTGTTTAGATAAATGACTGATGCAGAATGTGTATTACTGGGTGTTGAGTATTGAGGAAAAAGGTGCTTCTTATAATGCCTTTTCTGTTAGTCAGGAGTGTGGTATGAAATTTCCAAGTCCCTGTTTTGGAGTGTGGCGTTTATGGAGATTAAGTTGTGTGTTTACGCCTTAGCTCTGGAAGAAATAGAGAAAGAAGCACTTTGAAAAGTCCCGCACTGGGCCAAGGCATCGTGCTTGTAGTGAAATGGGGCGCCCCTTCCCCCTTCCACCAAAACCCTGGAACTTTGAAAGTTTATCGTTTAAGTTTATCGATAAAACTCGTCTATGGTGTTTATCTGTTCAACCTACCTCTCAAGTTTATCCATAAAACTTACATATCGTGTATATCTGTAAGGCATTAAGCCCAGTTTCTTCGACTTCACGATACAAGTTCCTCTGATATTTATGTTGATATTCTCTGGGTGTATTGTGAAGGACACCGAGATGATATATTAAAACAGACGTCTTATATTATTTACTCTAATCTACTGTCAAAGACTTCAAAATATTGTATACCCTGTGCTGTGGAGTGTTACTTACACCTACTATTTCTTTTTCTTTGACTCAGAGACTTAAGACAGGTGTAAATGTTTTATTTTAATAGCTCGGGTTTGAGTGTGGAAAGGGAGATATATTGTAGTGGTATCCTTGTTCATCCGTCCGTCCAGGCGCATATAAGCTGCCTTTCCTGAAGCACCATGGGCCACAATAGTCATGAAGTCTCTCATGTACTGAACGTGATCTTCACGAGGACTGCAGTGTGGCGCCATATTCAGGACACCCAGACCTAAATTTTTACACATTTTTGTTTTATTATATTACTTATATTTTTGATTGAGTGTTTTGTTAAGTTCCGGTTAATACTCTTTCTCTTTTAGATTGTATTTTGTGGTTAGCTGGGGGTCCTTGTGCAAGCTGGGCATCCTTTTTCCACAGAGACTGTTTCTAGATACGTGTAGTGTTGTTTTCATAGATGGATGGATAGATGGATATGTGGATGTATAAATGGATGTTTAGTAAAAATGCCACACCAGGTGGCATTGGCTCAGCATATAAAGTCAGTAAAACCTCTACCGTGTGTAACAATCTGAAACATCGGGCGAAGTCTTGAACTATTCCTGTGGTTATCGTCCTGTATTGAAGTTACAACTTCTTTTCGATTCACTTGGACCATGAGGTCTAGAAACTTATTGTAGAGTATTTTTTTCCGTCTGTAATAAACACTGAAGGACGTGTGTGGTTGTGAGTTGTGGCGAATAATGAGAGATGTTTAGTAAGGTTTTGTCACTGAAGAGAATGTTAAGTGTCCTTTTATGATGAAACGATATCAACAAAAGGCTTCATTTTATAAAGGGTGATTCTTGTTGTGCTGTTAGGATGACGTGAACACTACTGTACCTATTGGTGTGTCCCTCTTAGTGACGCTTCATGACCTAGCGTGGCCAGGAGTGCCCCATGACCTAGCGTGGCCAGGAGTGCCCCATGACCTAGCGTGGCCAGGAGTTCCCCATGACAGCGAGGCCAGGAGTGCCCCATGACCTAGCGTGGCCAGGAGTGCCCCATGACAGCGAGGCCATGAACTGTGTCTACGTGATGCTGTAAGCTTGAATACTTACCTGAAAGCATGGTCGTGAGCTTCCATGAATGACATGAACTTGAACTTTCCATGACGTGTGTGAATAGGAGAGGTGACAATGAACAAACGACAATACAAGTATACTGTATGAATATAATTATCCAGGATGTGAATATGATGTGTCCGGAATATGCCAATTTTTTTTTGTCTCTGATATTTATGTGAAAATTTACATTCAAGACTGCAAGAACATGAACTCGCCTTGTTACTTTGATGAAAAACTCATTACGGGCCACTTTTAATTCACCTCGACAATTAAATACCAAAACTGTGCAGTAACAAAACTGTCCATGGTAAAACGTGAACGTGAAACTCGACATGACTTTATATAAGACCTGCGTGTGACTTGGTGCTTGACGATGAGGGACGTAGTAGCGCAGGGTCAGAAACTCCCTCTGTTTGAGTCGTTTCGGGAGATGGTGTTGTCGGTGGTGGAGAGGCTAAAACCAGGCCTCACACACCAACAGGATACCCCCCAGCTGGAGGAGGAGGACGAGCAGGAAGACCTCGACAATAGAGTCTTCCTCGAGCCTGATCAAATCCTCACTACGGCTCTTAACATCGGCGACGCTCTAAGAAAGGTTTGTTTATAAGGTAGAGTTGTCGATTAGGGGCCGAATGATGTAAATATTTATTCACCCGTTGATTATGGATGATTTACGTATTAAATAGTTTGATGTTGTGGTATTTACCGTTTATGTCAGTTTACATAAGGCTTAGTCGTGTGTGTGTGTGTGTGTGTGTGTGTGTGTGTGTGTGTGTGTGTGTGTGTGTGTGTGTTAACTTCTCCAGTATGTTGCTCCTTTGAGTACGATAAATATTCTACCACTGATTAAGATATTAGAATCCCTTGAGTTTGATGACATCGTTTTCGAATACTATGACTTTAACCCCTCGAGTGGGACCTATTCTCTCAGGTACAGTATAGTGATATTGCACTCAGGGCGTTAAATCATTGAATGCAAGGGGTCAAGTCATCGTACTCAAGGGTTAAGTCATTATTCTTCAGGGGGTTAAATCATCGTACTCAAGGAATTAAATGATCATACTCAAGAAGTTAAGTCATCGTACTCAAGGGGGTAACGCCCGTATTATTAAGCAACATCTTCCCTTGAAGCGGGTCGTCATGTTTCAACCCGAGTTTTAAACTAAATGAGTCCCGAGGGAGACTGCAGTACTGTACTTAACGGGGTGGTGTAGCGGTAAAATGAACTAATTCCAATAAAATTAATTTATAATATTGGAATTAGTTCATTTTACCGCCACACCACCCTGTTAAGTACTGTACTGCGGTGTCCCTCACGATTCATTTAGTTTAAAGCTCGGGTTGAAACACGACGACCCTCTTCAAGGGAAGATTTAATGATACGGACGTTAGTCATCTTATCAGGGGGTTAAAACGTATTCGGAGCTGGCGTGGATGTGGACGTGAGTGTATGTATCCTGTTCCACTGTTTGTTTTCCCAGTTTTCTGTGCTTGTCAGTTTGTCTAAGCATGAATTTTATTTCATTCGCTTTTTTGTGATTAAAAACAAATACAAACAATGTCTTTATGCAGTCACATTCGTGATTGTATTTTCATATTATATATATATATATATATATATATATATATATATATATATATATATATATATATATATATATATATATATATATATATAATTTATTTTATTTTATTTTTTAATTTTTCTTAATTATCATTTTAGTTTTAAGGGTTATCATACTGACTTGTTTGTACAGTACGTCACTGAATGTCTTCCCGCCGCTGACCACGAGCTTGAACTTTGAACCTTTTTTCTTTATTGGACACTTAATCTTCGTTCAGTGACCGAGCCGTCTCATAAATTGGAAGTTTTTCGTTTCCTTCTATATTTCTCAGTGTAGAATTTAAGAGTCCACAAACCCATGGAGTGCAGTGCGTTTGGTCCAGAAAGTATGACAATGGATACTGGCTCGACTTTAGTCTTATGAGGTGTAGTATGTTCAACTACTCGGCAGTGGTGTCAAACTCAAAACCTTTAGAGGGCCAATTCTTATTTTAGTAACCCACTTCAGGGCCAACACAAGTGTTATATCACATATTTGCAGGATTGAAGTTTACAGCTTCACACATTGCTTTACCTGGCTTACCGGGAATATCTCATTTGGGTTTGCCTGAACTTAAGTATGCAAAATTCATTTTACTTAATAAACATGATTATATCTATTTCCATCATAATTTCTCGGGATGATAAATTTTATCGTCATCCTGCGGGCCACACCTGACCATCCCAAGGGCCACATTTGGCCCGCGGGCCATGAATTTGACACCCCTGGCATGTCTTATCACCTTGGTGTGGCGCGGCCTTTATCACAGTTTGGCGATGGAAGTGTGTTCTTGACCCACTGAGATTATACTGCATATGTTGAACTTTTGTCCTGATAATTATTATTGCCAAGAGCCATCCTTCGGCCAGCTATTTCTAAAGGTAGATATATAGGTAGATAGATAGATAGATAGATAAATAGATAGATAGATACATAGATACATAGATACATAGATAGATAGATAGCAAATAATTATAAGACAGGGATTACTGTATATGTATACCCACTTTTAATTTATATTAAAATACTAGAAAAATAATTAATTTGGATATCAAAATATCCAGGTCTAGATACACTCCTATACCTTAGCTGTAATATTTATTGTTAGATAACTCTTGTTAGTTTTACCTGAACAAAGACCATGAGTTTCATTGTGGTAATGAAAATCCTTCTATACTGTAGTTGCGTGTAAGAACCGGTTGATGATGATATATATATATATATATATATATATATATATATATATATATATATATATATATATATATATATATATATATATATATATATATAGTGTGTATTTTCGTTGAGGATAACAACGACTGCCAATTTTCTCTACAGGACTTAATGCAGCTCATGGAAGGATATGTACCAGCAGAAGCGACATTAAAGAATAAATTATTAGAGAACTATGGTGACAACATAATTATTTCTGATGTTGCATATAAACCTACTGTGGTCTGTTTTCGTGAGACTCACACTCGTGACACAATTTTATTTGATTCCTGGTACAGTATACACTGTACTTCTAAAGAAAACAATGAAAATGAAGAACGTCTAAGAATAGTTGGGATAGAGCAACCATTATAAGGGAAGGTATAAGATCACTGGTGTATGATGTTGAAGAGTACCCACCACCTCCAGCCCTTCTGATTGATGTATGAAAGGCGATCCCTCTATCCCTTCAAATATTTTTGAAAGGTGTCATCGTAAAAGACAAAATAACTGGAAACAATGAAAAACAACTGGAAAAGGTGTGATATCATAGCTCACAACATTATTTCTGCTGTTAGGCCACATGAAATATGAATCAAAGCTGATGTTGTACAGTATATTTTGTCTAAGCTGGTCATTTGCACCTCATACAAAGAAGCAGCTCTGTGTGAAGCCTTGGCTGTCATGCAGCAGTCCCCAGAAATTATGGAAGGAGGTTTTTTTGCAGTTTGTTTTTAACAATGTCGATTTTGACGTGCGAACTATTGATGGCTATAAAATATTCCACTATATGGCAGGTATGCAATGCATCACCCCTTCAAAATTTATGCCAAGTACCTGTACCTGTATTGAGGCAATACAAAGGCTTAAGTCTTTGCCTTCAGTGGAAGCTCTTGAATTTGTGAACCAAATTTTAATAAAGGGTTTCGAAAAGAGAGTCAATTCAGGATTAAAAAAATGTCTTTGTTAAGGATCTTAACACCAGATGACGTACAAAATAGAGGGTGTGGCCAGTGGGGAATTAACTGTTTATTTTCTCAGAAAGTATAAGCTGTGTGCAAGAGGTGAATACACCATCAGGTGCAGAATTTTAATCTCTTTTATTATGTTAAAGGTGTCATCCTAAGAAAAAATTACGGTTAACGAGTAAATACGAAAAACCACGAACGGCCGCCATTTTTTCAAGATGACAGCCAAAGCTCATCTCGGGTCGGTCAGGATATTTTGGTATGGTGTTTAGGAACGTATTCCCAATAATTCTACTAAATATCATTTCATTATGAATTAGTTAACCTTTTCTTCTTCTTTCTTCTTCTTCTTTATTATTGTTACTATTATTATAAACATTGTTACTGCAGGTATTAATTACAAAGTCAGAGTGGTAGGTCCCCTGTTAATTCCTTCCATCATATTTCAGGCTGCTCTGTGGGACAATGCAGAGCTGCTTGAGGACCTGCTCAATGGTGATCAGCTGGCCCACCTGGACTGCCGAGATGCCTGGGGACGAACTCCCTTACATGCTGCTGCCACTACCGAATCCTCCAGATGTCTCAGGATCCTCCTCCAAGCTGGGTCTGACGCTAACATGGCTTCAGGGCCCAGAGCTGAAGGACGGGTGAGACTCACTTGCTGTACTGTATTTGGTTTACTTACTGTAGCTAGGTGTACTGTACAGTTGTGATGGTGAGAGTCTGGACTGACTTAGTGTCTGAATAAAAGAAATTTTTGCATTTTTAAGGGAAAAGATTTTGTTTGATTATTATTAGTGGATTGTTAGATTTTTACTTAGTACAATTTAACCCTTTCACCTCATCGTCCAGTGTCATAATTACACTATTTCCAATAAGTATCATTAAGTCACCGAAAGATGAAAGTGCTTATTTATGCTTTTACTATTATTTTTACATTATGAGAATAACATGAAGTTTCCATATCTGGCACAAAAATTCCTTTGAAATGTCGGTAGCTTGTGAAAATTTATGTTTACTGTACCAGTGGCGTAGCTAGAGTGTGTGCCGCCCGGGGCATTGAGCCCCCCCCATTCCCCACAAAAATACATATTGCACAGTGACTCACTCTATATATATATATATATATATATATATATATATATATATATATATATATATATATATATATATATATATATATATATATATATATATATATATATATATATATATATATATATATATGTATATATTAAATAGTTTGTGTACCATTATAATATTACTGTACTTTCACATACTCAAATATAGTATGCTTTAAATACACCCCAAACATACTTAAACTTTATAAGTAACAGTTAAACAAAAAGCAAAAACGACATATAGGATAGGGAAAAAAGTAAAAAAGTGTAAAAAATTAGGAACATCTTTATTTCTGAAATGAAAACTACAACTTTCTACTAAGTAACTTTTCTTGTTTTTTTGTTGACAAATTCTTCAATGACATTGTCAAAAACTATTTCATCTGTCAATTGTCGCTCTATAGACAGTATGGCAAGATTTCTCAACCGCAAGGTGCTCATAGTAGATCTTAAGTAATTCTTGATCAGTTTTAGTTTCGAAAAACTCCTCTCACAGGTAGCAACACTAACAGCAATTGTGAGGAAAATCCTCAGCATTATTACAATATTTGGAACCGAGTTCCCAAGGTTATACTTTTGAATAAACTGCAAAAGTTCAAGGGGGCCTTCTTTCCACGTCTGTATTCTGTCTTTAATAGTTATAGCAGCAACAGCAACAAAATCTGAAGTCTTTTTCTCTCAACGAGGAACTCCTCTTTATCAATGTCGTCGTGATCGTGATCTATTTGACACTCATATTTATCATCCAAAAGATTCAATGGGGTAAGGAAGGCATATTTCTCAGCAAGTTCATGAAGCTGTTGAAATCTCAAAGTTATTTCTTGGATCACTCTGTCCAGCGAAGAAAACATTTCTCTCCTCAATTCAATGTCGTATGGCAATTCAGCATCTCGTGATCCTTCACCAAACATTTGTTTCTTCTTTTTGGGTCGACGCTGACGCTCCATGACTATCCCCAGATCATTGCAAATTTCTTTGGCATAGTTAACTCCATTACTCACTAGCTTGTCCCTGTTTTCAACTAGAAATGTTTCTAATGCCCTGAGTTTTATATCACATTGTTGTATGTTCAAGCCCTTGGTTTGGAGGTAAGTCTGTGTGTCGTTAATTTCTAGAAGGACGGGTCCCCACAGGCCAAGAAAGCACAAAAAGGAAAATGATTGCAACGCACCAAGTAGAACACCAGCATCTGCCCTGGTAGCTGTATTTTCTTCTTCACCAGTTAACTTTTCTAGGGCACTTAAGATTTTTGAGAAATGTTTCTTTACAACACTTACAGCTTCTCCCCTCGCACTCCACCGAGTTTCTATTATGCGCTTGACACTTTGACCAGTGACTGAAGTTAGAACATCCCAGCGATGGGTTGATGAAGAAAAAAATACAAACAAACGTTCCACACATCCAAAAAAGGTAACAGAATTCACAGCAACAGAAGCTGCATGAACACCCGCCAAATTCAGCGAGTGATTTGTACAAGCGACAAATTCTGCTTTTTTATTAATTTCCTTGATACGTCTGAACACCAGTATGAACACCAGCCATCACCGCAGCATTATCATATGCTTGCCCTCTACAATTTTGAATATCAATTCCGTCTTTCTCTAATTTTTCCAAAATCATCATTGAAATATTCTCGGCGGTTTTACCTTTTGTTTCAATGAAATCGACAAATGATTCCACAACCTTCACTTTATCTCCATCGATCATAACATAGCGTAAAACTTGGCTCGTTTGATCCTTATGTGAAATATCAGGAGTGCTGTGGAATATCATGGAAAAGTACTTTGCTTCTTTTACTTGCTTGATGATTTTGCTTCTTACGTTTTCTCCCAAAATTTCTATAAACTCGTTCTGAATAGTAGGAGACAGATAGGAAGTAGCAAACTTGTTTCCTAGCTGGATTCTTAGATGATGTTCACGTAGCACTGGATCATATTTCGCTAACAAATCAACTAGCTCTAAAAAATTTCCTCTATTTTCCGTTGCTTTAGTCTCGTTTCTCTCATAATTCATTCCTTCTCGGTGGCCTCGTAAAGCCAAATTCTGTTTAGCTAGGAATCTAATAATATCAAGCAATCTTGAAAGGATTTCCTTCCACTTTTTCACTTGGCTTTCAACAACTTCTTGTTCTTTTTTATCAATTGTTGCTCCACGAGCAATCCTAATTTCCAACTCCTTCCATTGTGTGAAATTCCGAACGTGAGCTGCACTGGATTCGTGCTCAGATATTCTAGGATTCAGTTTTCACCATATGTTGAATCCATCCTCAGAATTAAATTTTGAGTTACTTCTGTCTGAAAACAGTTTGCAACAAAAGCAGTAAAGAGCTTCCTTGGAAGGGGAGTACACCATCCATGATCTCAACATTCTTTCACCATTTGGCAGAGTTTGAAAAAACCACTCGCGTGTTAGTTTTCTAGTTTGTCCTTTGGTTGACACACCTTCACGAATTACTTCACCAAAATCAGAATCTAGATTTTGAACCACAGACGCTCCTTGACGTACCAGAAAGATCCGTGTGTCATTGCTAATCTTGCTTGGCCATAGGCCAACATCTTTTATGTCCACTCTGTCCACAGCTGGTCCCGGAATATTTTCTTCTTCATGTTCTTCATCACTTGAAGGAGTTGAAGTTGACGAATCGCTTGAAGTTGAACTTGAATCCCTTGAATTTGATAATGATTTGGTTTCTATACGACTGATGTATTTTAAGAGTGCCCCTTTATTCTTGTTTAATACTTCCTCTCTTGCCTTTCTCTTTTTTCTATACGCAGCACCACTTTCTTTAGCTCGCTTCATCTGGGGACAGAGTGATAGAAGTATAAAACATTAATTTTTCGAGAAATAAATTCACACTGCATGTTTAAGATTAAAAGATAAAAAAAAAAAAAAAGACGAGAACTTTAGATAAAAGTGATGAAGCTAAATATCACAAGTCACAAATTCTACACTTTTGACAAATAACACATTAAGAAAAAAGCTCTGTGTAGCAAAAGAATGCTTTTGTGAATTTACAAAAAAAACTTCAAAATGTATTACGTACATTATTTATTATTACGGCATTGAATAATATAAAAAAACGCTATTCCAAAAGTAATATGCATAGGAAAACATTTTTTCTTAAATAGCATTTCCTCAGCAAATGCATAATTTTTATATATATATATATATATATATATATATATATATATATATATATATATATATATATATATATATATATATATATATATATATATATATATATATATATATATATATATATATATATATGTGTATGCACAATAACCACTGGAGAAAGGAAAGACAAGCAGCAAGTACTTTCGTTTAATACATCCTCTGCCTGAGGATGTATTAAACGAAAGTACTTGCTGCTTGTCTTTCCTTTCTCCAGTGGTTATTGTGCATCTATTCTTCATGGTGATGTGAAGTTTCTGCATGCATATATATATATATATATATATATATATATATATATATATATATATATATATATATATATATATATATATATATATATATATATATATATATATATATATATTATTTTAGGTTAGGTTAGGAATCCGTTAAATAAAACAATTGTACTGCACCGTTATCTTTTATTGAGTATGATCTAAAATCACGGTATAATGACACTAGTATCAATGTAATACAATGGAAATGTAAAAAGTAGCAACTTAATCTAAAATTACAGACTCAGAGTACAGTGAAAATGGATGTCTGACATAAGCCCCCCCGACGAAAGCCACCCAGACAAAAGCCCCCCAGACGAAAGCCACCCAGACAAAAGCCCCCTACTTTGATCGGGGTGGCTTTTGTCTGACAACCCTAACCCTAACCCAACCTAACCTAACTTAACCTAACCCTAACCTAACCAATAATTAACCACAGAGAAGAACAGTATATTTTACCCTCAACTATTTAATTATGTCCGTAACTTTTGAAAGCCCTTACTGTTGTCAGACAAAAGCCACCCCGATCAAAGTAGGGGGCTTTTGTCTGGGTGGCTTTCGTCTGGGGGGCTTTTGTCTGGGTGGCTTTTGTCAGGGGGGCTTTTGTCTGTACCCCAGTGAGGATAGTGTCTTAGTATAAAATCGCAATGCTGTGAAACAAAATCTTAATATTTAATCTCAGTACCGCAGCAAAAGTCACATCAATATTTTTTAACCAATACTTTAATATTTCTTACCTTATAGTATTATGTCTTCCAACGAAGTAAATAACTGGATCGAAAACACAAGAGAACTTAAAAGTCGTCTAGCCTCCCCTCGTCTTGTCACGATGGAGACTTGTGCAGAACTGAAGTGAATTGCTTATAACTGGTGGATTGGTCGGCTGTACATGAACTTATATGACCCGAGACTGCATGGTTTTGCAGCTACTGGAGACGTTAATCCTTCCCTTTGTATGGGCGGCAAGTTTATCCTCGTCGTGTCTGACCTAACACCTGACCCACACCACATGAGCTCACTGGCGTACTTGTTTGAAGTTGTTTCCTTAATCCTCAACAGGTTACAGGTTGTGTGTGTGGCGGGGGGCGCATAGCAAGGGTGTAGCTCATGACGTGGCCGTGATGATGTGGGTCAGGTGTTAGGTCAGACACGACAAGGATTAACTTGCCGCCGATACAAAGGGATGGATTAACGTCTCCAGTAGCTGCAGATATGGGTGATGAGCAGACCCAAAAGTGCCGCCCCCCAAAAGTGCCGCCCGGGGCGGACCCCCCCCCTAGCTACGCTAGTGTACTGTACCTGTATATGAAAAATATTGAAAAAATAATAATATTTTGTAACTCAGGTATTCTGCAGGTAAAGTGGTCTGAGGAAATCAGATGTCAAATTTGCCTCCATAAGCATGGGTCATGCCCTACAAACTATAACCTAGTTATTCATCACTTTAAATTCATTTTTCATGTAAATTACACCAGGTTTGGAGATCCAATATTGGTACCTCACCTTCAATCATTTTGAGTGAAACCAAACAAAACAGACAATATAAACACAATTATTTCAATAAACATCAAACGTGCATATATTCACTTATTTTGTAAACCATAAAACACCAATTTATAAACTTCCTTGCAATGAAGTGCCAAGACTCATCTTCCATCTTACACTCATGACTCTGTAAACGGAGATAAAGTCAGTACAAACACATACCAGTAGCAAATAAAAAAAATACTGTACCAGTAATTACTGGTGCTGTAGTCAGAAAATGGGAAGTCAAAAACAGAGGTAGTTCAACAATATACCTTCTTTTATATATATTTTCATACTTGACATGCAAACACTGTCTATCCCCATACAATAGAATAAAAACTGACCTTATTTATTTTGATGATAGGCAATAAAAAATTTTGTATGACAGTTGGCAAAAATTGAGCTTAGGCATCGTCTACGACTTTGCATGTTTGTGTTGTGGTTGAGCCTTTTGCCGAAAGATAGCAGCACAACTCAGGGCTGAACAGTGCTTTCAAATTCTTGGAACATAGTCAATTTGAGCATGGAATAGAAAGAAAAAAATGTGCCGTGGACTTCAGTCGATTTTTGCAGTGTAGCACTACAATTTTAAAATTGACTTCTGCCGAATTGTGGAGTGAAAGGATTAAATTTTTTGCTAGTTATGCATTTCCTGTTAGGAAGATGTTTTTACCATTTTCATGGTAATTTTCCACTTTTACATAAGTTAGCCATGATTATCTGATAGCTCTCCATGCTGCATGTGCCCTTGCCTACTTCTCATCAGGTTCTTACCTCGGAGCTAATTTCTTACAATTTCTTCCCCATGGCATCCCTGACCTACCAATAGGTCTTCTCCTCTTCACATACAGTTTCATGCATCTCTGATCATGTTGATGTCCTCCATTCTCTTCACATGCCTAAACCATCTCAGCCTACCTCTAGGCCTAAGTTTGCTAATACCCAGCCTCCTATTTTTCAGTGTCACATTACACAGACATCCACCTCAATATTCTCATTTCAGCCCATGTTCACTGTCATACAACATCACACTTCTGACACTGCTTAAATGCATCTTTCCTTTCACACACATCTTGCCATCAATACAAGCAGCAAGTTGTTGATATTGATTTTTTAATGTTTGATTGTGAAGTAGAAGAACGGACACTAAGAAATGAGAGGTTGTAGGAATATATGTTGTAGGGAACTGGGAAATTCATTAAATTCTCAGAGTTTTGAAAGTAAGATAATGTTTGAAAAGGATGGATGCATGAAAACTATTTTAAAATTCTTACAGTAAACAGGACTGGAGAATAGGAGAGTAGTAATGGAGAGGGAGGTAGAAGAGACGAGTGAGGGATTATGGAAAGGAGAGTTAACATTTGCATGGAAAATCTTAAAGATGTATGTGTGTGTGTGTGTGTGTGTGTGTGGGAACTGTGTATGACCCACTCTTCCTTCTAGTGGAGGCAGCATGACCTAATTTACCTGCTTTATTTGTTCTCAGTACAGTACTTACCATATACTGTACTGTACTATGTTCTGTCTTCTGTACTAAGTTCTTTTCTACTGTATGTAACGACCCAGGATATCTTTTCCAGATACTGAACTATCTTTTCTGGCCCATTATAATTTTTATCAATTAAATTGTAGCCAAGACTTTTCCAATTTTATACCTGATTTTATAAATGTGTTTCAGACATGTCTTCACATAGCTTCAGAACATGGAGCTGTGGAGAACATCCGCTTACTACTTGACCATGGTGCCGACCTTTTAGCCAAGGACGCAAATGGCCTTACTGCACTTGACTTAGCTGAGCAAGGGGAACACACACAGTGCATGACCGTCCTCAAAAATGCTGCAGGTTTGTGAAAAAAAGTTTGTTTGCACTTTTCTAGAAGTGTGAGGTTTTGTGTGGGATATGAGAATTTTTTTTTTTTTTAATATATACCTTTATATGTGTGTGTGTGTGTATATATATGCTGATAACCACAAGGAAAGAAGAAAACACGAAGTTCCCAAGCGCTTTCGTGTAATTCACATCTTCAGGGGTGAGTACTGTATATATATATATATATATATATATATATATATATATATATATATATATATATATATATATATATATATATATATATATATATATATATATATATATATATATATATATATATATATATATATATATATATATATATATATGCACAGTATAGTCTCGGTTTACGTGGTCAATTAAACCCGTGGAGGTCCACGTAAAACGAGAAACGCGTAAACGAAATAACAGAACATATTGGATTAATTGAAATAGAGACTGGGCCGACACAATACGCATGTTGTAGTAAAAATAACATCTTAATTTTATGATGGTATGCACACACAATTAATATTTAAGAGAAATATCAATAATATTAGGTTTTTTAACACTTACGTTAGTAGAAGAGATGGCTGTGCACACGGGGATGGGGGGTTGGTTCCGAGGTAGAGGGCAGATTATTGGCCCTCACCTGTATCACTATCCACCACAGAGGCTAGCAGGGCCTCTTTGTCAAACCCCTCAAAGTCCATATCCTCACTATCACTATCGCTGACTAGGGCTGGCTGTGGTGGGTGGCTGGTGAAGAACTTGGTAATGTTTTGTTGACTGGGTGACCTAGCGCGCACCCTGCCCGCACAGCTTCCCGCGTAAATGATGGAATGTACCGCGTAACTAATAATTGCCGGTCTGGCCAGGTGTCGCGTAAATGACCAACCTTGTTATGGAAATCCGCGTAAATCAAGACTATACTGTACTATATATTTTTTTTTTTTTTGTATTTCTGAATAATATGCCTATTAAAATCTCAGAGCCACACAGGTGGATATTTAGTGTTTTGTGTACATCAGTTGAGAACTCCATAACTACTTGTTTCATTTTGTTACCATTACCACTTTCCCAAAGACCCATCATATGTAGTTACAGTGATGCTGCCCTTACAGGGTATTTTTTTTTCTTGACATGTGGTCTCCAACCTCTCCTTATAGCCACACCTTTACCACCATTTGATTACCTAAATATCCTAATACAAAAGTAACTACCCTAGATGAGTTACAGTAGTTAAGCCACAGATCTATGTGGCATTCAGTGACTGTTGCCTCATAGTCAATGTCTGTGACTGTTGTTGGCCTTAGGGGCCAATTGTCTCATTTCCCTGAGTCAAAGCAATGTAGACCTAAGTAGAGAGAAGGACAGGCAACATCTCAACCAGGCTGCAATGTGGCTTCTGGGCTGCTGCTCTGTTAAGATGTCACCTTGGTCAGTCTTGTGTAGAAGCATCTTGCACTTGGTTCCATCCCACCAGAGGTTGTGAACACCAGAGGAGTGGAGCTGCCTTGATCCACATTCTGAATTTTTTTTTGCTGACGCCCTGGTCTTGTTCTTCTCGTTCCTCTGGTGTGCAGCTTTGAGAAACAGGTTACGGTGACGTGTGACCATGGGATTTCATATCCTGATATCAAAGAAGGCACTCTGTCCCCGTGTCCAGAATCCTCGAGCACTGATGTCCACATGGGTTTCATTGGATGTGTTGTAGTCCTGTGATGGAGGTTCTCACAGTTCAATGGAAGAATGGTCGGGTCCACTGTGGCATATTGGCAGATTTCCTTCAACATATTCACTGTGAGATCCCTTACTTCATCATGCCTCATGCATATGAAACCACCCTTCTTGCACACCATGGCGTGGTCAGTGTCGTAGGATGAGACACACATCCATTGGGAGGGCATGCCTTCTACTGGCCAACCATACCTTAGAGCAGTGGCATCTGTAAATTCTTGTTTGTTAAGGCTTTTTTTTTTACGGGAATTAGCCCACCCGGGGACAGGTGAAACGACCCACAACGGGGCCTGGGGGGTGAAAATAAGAACAGAAAGAAATTGAATATAGAGAAGAAAAAGGTTATACTGTGTTAATCTACACCACGAAGATGCCGGAAAATCAGCTTTTTAAAGTGAGACAGATTGTATAAGTATGGAAACACAGAAGAAGGCAGAGCATGCCACAGTTTGGCTATGTGAGGAAAGAAGGAGGTACTATAACGGGTTATTCTTGTGTGACCGACATCCACAGAGAAACGGTGGGCACCGCGGGCAAGACTTGTGTTACGAGCCCACGGCCTTGCCGGCAGTACACAGGATGCCAAATCCACCGAACATTGCCCATTAAAATACCTGTAAAAGAGAGAAAGTGAAGTAACATTGCGGCAAAGAGAAAGGGAAGAGAGATTGTTGACTAAAGGAGGAGAGTTAATAAGACGAAATGCCTTTAATTCCACCCTATCTAGCAGTTGAACAGAAGAAGAGCCACCCCAGATATGAGAGCAGTACTCCAAGTTAGGACGAATGAATCCCTTATATACTTGGAGCATCTGCTCAGGAGTGAAGTAGCTACGGCATCTGTACAGCATTCCCAACTTTCGGGAGGCAGCTTTAGCTATATTAATGATGTGTGATCTCCCTGACATATTGGAAGAAATGGTGAGGCCTAACATATTTATTTCAGAATTTGTCAGGATGATGGCATCCTGAAATGTAATTGGTGGGAGATCGTCTAATTTAGAAAGTGTAATTGGTAAATATTGAGTTTTATTACAATTTAATTAATTTGTACCTCCCCATTCAGAGATGCTGCACAGATCCGCAGTGATAAAAGTATTGATATCAGCTCTAGAAACGTATCTAGTTTGAGAGTTAGGAGGAAGGGGAAAATGTGAAGAAGAGTGAAGAGTAGAATCATCAGTGTAAGAATGAATAGAATTAGTTGTAGTGTGAAGTAAATTATTGATAAAAAGAAGGAAGAGAGTAGGTGAAAGACCAGAAGCCTGTGGGACACCACAATTGGTAGAAAAAGAGCGAGAGATCGATCCCTTGACAACAACTGCCATGGATTGGTTCTCAAGGAAGCTAGAGATTAGAAAACAAAGTGGGGGAGGGAAACCAAAAGAGGGAAGTTTAAATAGCAAAGACTTGTGCCATACCCTGTCAAATGCTTTGGAGATGTCGAGGGCCACGGAGAAAGTTTCCCCATAATCCCTAAGAGAGGATGACCAAAGATGGGTGCAACAGGAATTCAGATCACCAGTAGATCTCGCCTGGCGAAAACCATACTGGTGATCTGACAAAAGAGAAAGGCGTTCAAGGTGACGGAGAAAATGGGAGTTCAAGATAGTTTCGAAAATTTTAGAGAGGGATGAAGTTAGGGCAATGGGGCCATAGTTAGAGGGATTAGAATGGTCACCCTTCTTCAGGATGGGCTGAACCAAGGCATGCTTCCAAGAAGGAAAAGTTTGGGTTTTGAGGCAGAGGCGAAAGAGGCGAGCAAGCACAGGGGCCAGAGCTTCAGCACACTCCCTCAGAACATGAGGGGGTATTCCGTCCGGTCCATGCTCGTTACTCACATCCAACCTGGATAACACACCGGCAACCCTGCAAATGGAGATTATAGGAAAGTGCATAGGTTCGGTAGGAGGGATAGAGTGGGAATCATCTAAGGTGGAGTTAGAGGAGAATAAGGTGCCAAAGAGATTGGCATTGTCAGGGGGAGAGTTGGCTATAGAGTTATCAGGTCGGAAGAGAGGAGGAAAAGAAGGAGTGCAGAAGTTGTTAAAGATGCTTTTGGTTAAGGACCAGAAGGATTTACTAGAGGAAGAATTAGTCAGGACAGCGGTCTTTCTTTTTATAAAATTCCGCTTGGCCCTACGAAGAATAGCCTTACAACGATTCCTAGAAGTAATGAAAGAGGAGTGGGAAAAGGAGAAGGAGATAGTTTCATAGCTCGATATGCCCTATCTCTCACCCTGCAAGCAAGAGAGCAGGAGCGATCAAACCATGATTGTAATGTGAAACTTTTGGTAGAAGATGGGATAAATGCACTCATACCACCCTGTATAACCCCAGCAATGCTGTCAGCACATACCGAGGCATCCCGAGTGGAAAAGCAACATTCAACCCAAAGAAAGTCGGTGAAGAATTCTTGCAAGGATTGCCAGCTTGCCCTCCGATAGTGCCATAGTTGACGTTTAGAGGGGGGTGGGGGAGGTGGTCGTGCCCAGTTTGATTTAATAGAAATAAGGTTATGATCAGAAGACCCTAAGGGGCAGAAATTGAGTATGAGTAGTGTGAGGGGTTAGAGGTAAAACAAAGATCAAGAATGTTAGCAAGTTGATCGTGTCGGTCAGGAATATGTGTAGGGTGTTTGATTATTTGTTCCAAATCATTAAGTAGGGAAAAAGAGTGCCTCAGTTCCACCTGGGTCATCCCTTGCAGAGCCAAGCCACTCTCTGTGATGTACATTGAAGTCCCCTAGGTAGAGGATCTCGGTGTTGGGGGTGTGTGGATAGCAACGACTCATGGCAAGAGGTGAGATAGTCAAAGAGTTCGAAATAGTTGGTAGAGTTGGGAGAACAGTATAGGAAACAAAGAAAAATAGTCACAGTTGGTAGAGATATTTTGAGCCAGATGACATCATAAAGGGAAGATTCAGATCCGTGAGTCGAGCTATAGGTGTACGTGTGTGTAGCAGTAGGTGCATACACCTCCCTTAGAACGGAAGGCGGTATAAAGGTTGTAGTTGGAGACTTGAAAAGGTTTGGGTGAAGCTGCTTTGGATAGTTGAAGTTCGGAAAGTAGAAAGAGGTCGGGGGAAGAGGTTAATAGATGGTGCTCCACAGAAGGAAAATTTGATTTCAGGTCGCGAATGTTGGAAAAATGAAGTGGAAAAAAACCGATCCTCCAGCAACCGCAGTGGCGTCAGCTGAGGCCCCAGTAACTTGATGATGATCAGGTCGGCCTAGGGGTCCACAACCTTTCTGACCACTGGGACCCATCCGA